TACCACGCTAACTTGTGCTCCAATTTACGGTGATCCCGAAATAACTCGTCATATGGAGCTATCCCCATTTATCCCATCAAGGCATGCTGTTATGATCTTATTTTACCCAACAGCTTTTAAATCATCCTCATTAGAATGTAGTCATTCACACAATCTTTGCAGTTTGCTTGACGATCCGTATGACCAGTCATTGTGCTGATTCAGATTGTTAGGAAGGAGCCAACCAATACTTCAGTACCAAAATGATGGGACAGGAGGGTCAGGGTGCTAGATCAGCAACAAAAGAGAAGATCCGACGTCTGTTAATCGCTCAAGAAGGAAGAAGAAGCAACTCTTTTCTTCTTTCATAGAAACCACATTAAAACATAAGCCGAAGTTCCCTTGCAATGGGATGTCTAACTCTTAAATATGAGCCACTTCTAAAAAAATTAAAAAGAATATATTCTAGTAACATATTGTCCCTACTCTCTCTTTTGGGTAAAACTAATGTGTTTCTTCCATTACCCTCGATCTACTATTTTAAGGACTTCTTTCTTTCCCTCAGTTGCTTCCCCAAAAATTTAGGATCTGGCCTCTCAAACCCACGCACCTGACATCAAATGCCTATTGTTAGGAACAACTACGTGACTCTCCGACTTGTAGGAAACCTGACAAAAGAAATCACTAGACTCACACTATTCTAAAATCTGAGAAGATAGAATAAAAAGAATCACACCGCTTCTAAGGAAAAAAAGACATTTTGTTACCCTGCCCCTACCAATATTCAAGCTCTTTCTTGACCCCCCCCCCCCCCCTGCTACAACCCCTAAAATTGACCAATAGTAATAATGGAAATTCCATCCGTATCCCTGGGAAATAAAATAAAAATAAAAATAAAAATCAGCCATCTCTGGAATGCGATTTGCATCAGATAGAAATATGTAACTCACTATTACTTTAATATAATATTGTAGATTACTTTAAAGCATAATTATCCGCAATTCTCTCCTATGATTGATGCTCAAAGCTTTATAATCCAAGGGAAATGAAAGGTAAAATACAGGAAACAGAGAGAGAAATACCTTGATCTTGAGTGAGCAATAGAGTAACTTAGAGAGAGTGAATCTTCCTAAACATCATACTATCAAATTTTGTGACAATGTTTTTGTTTCTATGCACAGTGGCTCATTTTGTGGAGGGGCGCCAAGAAATCTCTTTTCATGGATGGTATGGAAGATAGAATTTGTTGACTCAAAGTATAGAGCTATTATCCTTGTTCAACTAACTATTGAAGTGATTCCTTTACCATCTATTGACATTCCTGAAGAGCAGTCTAATTCCACATCTTTCTATTAATACTCTTGCGAGTCTCTTCAGCACCCAAGCATCACCATGTTATTCTCATCAAATCTGCCATCTTTTAGCACCCGGTCATTTGATTGAGGTGCCTAAACTAAAGTCCATCCTACATCACCATTTACTCCATAGTTGGGCATCTCAAATAGGCGAACCAAATTTCCATGTCCATAACTAGAGTAGCATACCTGTGTCCTACACTGATTGTTATCGACCTTGAGAATGCTTATAACTAGAGTAGTATACATGTGTCCTGCACTGATTGTTATCGACCTTGAGCATCATCATCATCATCATCAGAGCCTTATCCTAAATATTTGGGGTCAGCTACACAAATTATGTTCTACCATTTTGCTCTATCAAGGGCCATACCCTCAATAAGAGCATAAATCCTCATATCTTTTCTCACTACTTCCATCTATGTCCTTTTGGGCCTTCTCCTTACCCTTTTAAAGCCTTCCACTTGAACCAAGTCACACCTCCTAACCGTTGCTTTATTAGGTTTATGCTGCACATGGCCAACCCAACTAAGTCTACTTTCTCTCATCTTATCGCCTATTGAAGCCACCTAAGTTCCCTCAAATATATTCGTTTCCAATTTTATACTTTCTTGTCTTGCTACTCACCCATTTCAACATCCGTATCTCACCTATGGATATGTTGTTTCTTAACTGCCCAACATTTCGTCCCATAAAGCAAAGCTGGTTTCACAACCATCCTATAGAATTTTCCCTTCAGCTTCATTGGTATGTGGTGATCACATAAAGCTCTATGCAAATGCACATCTCCACTTTGCTCACCCAACTCTGATTCTATATGTGATGTTTTCCTCATTCTCTCCATTATTCTAGATTATCAACCTAAGATATCGAAAATACTCTCTTTAAGGTTTTTCTTGGCCATCAATCTTAATTACGTTCTTGTTTCCACTTCTATTATTACTGAACTTGTATCTATATATTTTGTTTTAGTCTGACTAATTTTAGAACCTTTAGATTCTAGAGCATCTCTCTAAAGTTCTAACTTTGCGTTGACTCTGCTTCTAGTCTCATCGATCAAGAGTTCAAGACTATGTCATCTGCGAGCAACATACACCGTGGTACTTCATCTTGTAGGTTCCTAGTTAACTCATTCATAGCTAGAACAAGAGATATGCGCCTTGAGCATAGTTTTCCTTTTTCATTTTTTCATTTTTTTTAGCTTTGCAGAAATCAATTTGAGTTGGCAGCTCCTTAAATGAAATTGCATTACCCTCTTCCATGATCATGGCAGTTTAGTGTAGGCTTGTGCAACTAGGAGGCCAACTGGACAGAAGCCCTAAATTTAGAAAAATCTTCCAATTCTAGTTTGCTTTCCTGCCTATTTGCACTTCCCCTGCCCAGTTTGAAGCAAACCAATCAGTCTTATCCTTCATATTAATTTTTTCTGCCCAAATCCTAGCTAGTGTTGGAGGCACCATATCTATTGTTACTCTTGAGTAATGTATTTTTGGGAAACTATACTGTAAGCCCATGGATTATATGCCATATAGTACTCCAAATGGGAGTCAGTCCATTTCTAATGACAGTGGAGATTAAACGTGGTGGAGCCCCTAAAACATTCACCCAAGTGCAATTAATCTTAACAATGGAACATCTGGACTGGACATTGGCTGCCCTACGGGTACCATATACCATACTCTGTTTGGTTATGGTATGTTTTCCATGCATATCAGTTTGTGCATTCTTCACTAGTATGCCTGCAATCTGTGATTCGATATGAGCACATCCTCTGGGCCCAATGCTGAGGCCATTGCTGAGGATGATGGACAAATTATTTAAAGTGTAAAACCTATAATAATGATAATTGATTCTTGTATTAACCCCAATTCTCTTTCAGGAAATCCTGTTTTTTGCCAAATGCAGCAATGAGGCACCACCCATCATAGCCATATAAAATTCTGTCTTGTGAAAAACCGTTTCATGATATAGTAAAATATCATTGAATCATATTGGTTCAGTCTTTCCCTGCTTATGAGAGGGTGCATAAATTATGCTAGAGATGGTATTTGGTTTGGTGTATCTCATGTTTTATTTAGCTTTGGTTTCTGCCAGACTTGGTCTAAAGTTATCAAGAACATTTTTTTCATGACATTAATAGAGAGTGGACATCCTTGCACTTTGGGATTTCCTCTTCTTTTGCATGAAAGATAACATTGACTCTCATGTTAATTTCTCTGACCCTTGTCATTTACTTGGTCTGACTGTGCTCACACTGATTTCTGGAATAAAATTCTAGCACTATATATCATCATAGACTTGCTGACATTATTTGTATGATCCATAAAGCCACACAAATGAAGGTATGGATGTGATGGTCGATTTATATGGACATGCATGACACACATGAGAGAGAGAGAGAGAGAGAGAGAGAGAGAGAGAGAGAGAGAGAGAGAGAGAGAGAGAGAGAC